CCCTCCTCTCAGGCAGTTGTAGGCAGCGATGAGGGCTCCCCTCAGCCTCCTCTGCTCCAGGCTGAACCCCCCCAGCTCCCCCAGCCGCTCCCCAGCAGCCTGGGGCTCCAGATCCCTCCCCAGCACAAAGCTCCAGACCCCTCCCTCACCCCCAAAATGACCAATGCAATCCCCCGTATACTACAGGGAATTAAAAGAACATTTTACCAAAGCGAAGCAGAGGTGTAACAGCCCGTTAAGCTGTTTTCTGGAGGGGGAAGCAGAGCAACAGAACTACAGCAGAGTAGCTGGTACCACCACAGCTACGCAAGCCTAACTCCCCCCAAGTACAATTCTGCAACAGCCACTCTTCTTCCAGGTCAGGTGTGTAAAGGCAGAAGTTACAACACCCTTGCTAGAATTCTGCTATTAAGAGCACCCTTTGGTAGATCAACCCCTAAAGCGGGGATTACTGAACACATAAGGGGACACCCCCCATCCAGCAAACCAAAAAACCCCACAAATTTGCCTAAATTGCAGCACATTAGCCAAATGTTATAAGGGTTCCCAAAGTTTAGGAGCAAAAAGTACTTTTAGAGAACTATCGTAGCTGCTCCTCTCATTCGTTAGGAGATCAAACTCTGCTTTCCGCTGTTCTTCAAGCACATCATGCAAAAAATACAGGCTCTGAGCGCAGCGCAGAAGAGGTGGTGCAGCTTGGAGAAGAATTATAAAAAAGTCCTTACTTGTGTGTGGGAAGGCTTAAGGGAATATTTCAGCACATCAGGAGCTGAATCACTGCATGTAGGTGGAGCCAGACAGATTGACAAGATCTGTAACTGGAAAAATGACCTAAGTCTGAGATCAATCATCTCAAAGTAGCTGAGGGAACAACATATGGAGACGGCTCAAGGTGGCGAGGCTCCATGTCAACATGACATGCAAAAACTGTATTAGAGGCACATGCTACAACTGACTGACTATCATTTAACTCAAAACATGGACAACTGTGATCCTCTCTGCACCAACGGGCCAAGCAGCCTTAGTATCACCACCACCACCACGTTACCTCAACAGCTTTCCATACTACGGCAGCACTTTGGGGGAAGCCCTTAGCAAACACCTCTTTTTCCATGAGTTGGATTAATGAAGAATCTAGCTCTCAGGTAACGACTTCTGAGAAGTTGTGGAGCAGCCACTTGATGGAAAACTAAGAATTAACTGCAGAGCTGACAAAAGCATGAAAGCTGAAGGATGGTACAGCAAGCTTCCAAGTTTTACAGCCCTTTAGATCACTGAAGCCCCTAAATTGTGCTTGATAGGCTAATCCAGGACATAGAACTGGACTCAAGTTACAAACAAAACCAAATTATAACTTTTTAGTATTTATCTCCTTCCAAAAGCCCAAACTTGGGGGTCTATTTATCAGAAGACCTCAATTTTATATATGCAAATGAACCCAGGTTCCTACAGCCAGGCAGTTCCTCAATCTTGCCACTAAAGACAAATCATTTAAGAGGCTCACTGCCCTCCTGTTCCTATTCTGCGTGGTCTCAAACTATTTCCGTCTGTGACTCTGCACGGTAAGAAAAATCTGCTAAATGTTAAGAGATTTATTTAACAAATTAAATAAATAACTCACCATACTCACTAAAGATTATTTATTACCAGCAGTCAGTGTTACATCGGTACTCATCACTACTAAACTCAATCGCTAACCAATAACCTGACAATTTCAAGGGTTATTCTGAAGTTTGAAACGGTTTTATTTCCTCCTCATTCTCATAAACGCTCCGTCCCTGTAAACATCATGGGGTCAAGCTGAAGGGTAATGGTTTTCCCTCATTAATTCAAGGGAACAGAGTTGATCCCTGCTAATCTGAGAACAAACCCAAGTTTTTAGCCCGCTAGATCCTGTCCAGGACATTATTTTCTGTGCTGCAGAATGAGTACGGCACCTTCTCGTGTCTGTCTGCAGCTTATTTAAAGCGGGGAGCTAAAACACACAACACTGGGAACCTTGACCAGCCGCAAAGGAAAAGCCTGTTATGAAGCAGTTCCCGTGCACACAGACATTTCTGTTCAGAGCGACAACAGCCAAGAACATGCATTTTACTTTATAGGCAATAAGTGGTATCATCCGAAGATTTGCACGGGCATCTGGACTCTTGGAGATTGTTCTCATGGACGTAATCCCAAATAAATAGGATTGTCTGACTAGAGTTAATCCTGAAAAACTTACTTTTTCTTCATTAAACAAACATTCTCCCTCCCCCTTTAAACACACTATCCCCTGCCTTCTTTTTGAGGACCGGGAGAATCAGTCTAGATAGAATGGGCTTTCTTTAAAGCAAGACAAAAGAACACGACTTGGAGGCGCGGAAAGACTGGTTATCCTTTGAGATGTTCTGCTGTATCTACCTCCTGCGAAGCAGGAAAGAGTAGGAGTGGGAAAAAAACCAACCCAAGCCACCCCACAAGCAACCAGGCATAGAGTCAGGAGGGAGAGCTGAGCGTGTAGGTAGGTTATCAGAGCCCAGGAACGGATCCGAACAGAAGGGAGCGAGGAATCTGGGTGCAGACAACACGGCCGCGCTTCCTTTAAGTGCAAGACTTTGCATTTGAGGTCCCAGGGCCTCTTGCCATTTGCAGCGGCTGCTCCCAACCTGTAAATGCTGCTGGGGAGCCTGGAAGGAGCCGCCAGGTTGGGCACGCTGCTCCCCCTTCATCAGGAAGAGCTACCGAGGGGACGCATTGCTAAAACGCATTCCCACATACAGAAGTGTTGCAGTGGCCACAGAGGTAACATTCAATGACAAACAGGAGGGAAGAAAGGCAAGAATATAGTTCATAATGATCTTAAAAGAACAGTAAGAAATTGATAAGCAGGAGCCCAGACAAAGTTAGACAGGGGTGAGTAAGTATTAGGTGAGGAAATGTAAGGATAGAAGGTTAAGAGTAATATCCAACAGCCTGAAAAGAAAGCTCCAGGTGAACAGCTTGTCTGTTTTGAGGGGATAAAGTCTTAAGCCAGGGAGACTGCCACCGTATGGCGCCACATTCTGCAGAGACAGACTGACCCAGCAGCTCTGCAGAAGGTACAGTAGCATCAGGGGATTTAAAGTCTTTGACAAATACAGGGATGCAGCCTTGAGCTGTGCAGCTGGGTGCCTTTCACAGGACGGGCACAAATATTAATTTGATGCAACGAAACTTTTAACTAACAGGAGAGCTTGCTGCCCCTTCCCTCTCTTCCTCAAATCACCACAGCCAGGTTGCACGGGATTAATTTTCAGCAAGGCAGCTGCAAAATACACCTAATTTTTTTTTAAATCTTCACTTGTACTTGCATTCAATGTTTTCTTACTTTATAGAAAAGAGCGCTAGGCCAGTTTCTTAGAGCTATAAAGAAGCAAAATTACCTTGACCAGTAGCTGACAAACCAGCACCGATGAAAAGCGTTCATTCAGCTGAGTCTGCCTCGTACACAGTGCGTGCTTTCAGTTCCCACAGTAACTAAAATGTGTTTTCCTGATGAAAATACGTTTCTGATTTGGCAAGTTGACTTCAGGCAGCCTCCCTCCACACGGGAAACAGAACAAGAGTGTACATTTACCCGCGAATTCTAACGTCAAAAATATTTTTCATGTAATATTATCACTAGAAAACAACTCACAGCCATGACGCCAAAGCCTCCGTAGGCAGGGTTTAACAGGCCTACATTCCCGCAGTCCAGCCGTGTCAGTCATGGCTGTTTTCCCTTCCCAATGTGCTCAGTTTACAAGCAAGAAAACTCCTCCCTTTTCTTGCTCAACAGCCAGTTCAGCAAGTTCAATTTCAGATGTGAATCAAGCGAACTTTTCCTGGGCAGAACCACCTACAAAAGCTCTGCGGGCCAAATCCAGACCGTACCCATATCCATGCAAATTCGTCATTTTTATTGATTGCACAAAATTCATCCGACCAGAATTCAGTAAAAATAACGCTGATAATACACACGGGGAGATCATTACATTCCCTGTAACTTCGTTAGTTCTGCAAGACAGAGCAGAGAAAGAAAAAAAAAAATTAAAAAAAAAAAATCGAGCCATCTTAATGGAGCAGCTCCAACACTGCTTTGCACAAGATAAAATCAGAAGTTTTAACCAACAAGGAGTCTCTTTTTGTTACCTTTGCAGAGCAAAGCGGCATTCCGAGGGTTTTCATCCTATCAACCAACATCAACCAAACCAGTTCATCCCCCATCTCCTCCAGCCGGTGCCCTGCAGAATTAGGCAGGCTGCTGTTTCCCGATAAAGCAAGAAAAACCTGACTGAGCATGACACAGCGTAAGAACTGGAGCTTGTGTGAGCTCGGGTGGTTTGTATCCCAAATTACACTCTCTACAGAAAAAAAGATGCAAAACTTTAGCTGGGCTGGACCAGAGCCTACCCCTTAGTGAAGCTGCCTAAGGACCATTAAAATAAGCTCATACGTTATCTCCGAAGAGGACTAAACTCTACCAATGTAACTGTCTGTCCGCAGAGCGTGGTACTATTGTTTTAGTAGAAAATAATCAAAATAGTAGAAAAAAATCAAAAAAACAGCGCGTAGGACAAACCTAAGGCTGTTTCACATCGCAGCTCCGTATTTACATACATTTACAATATGTGACGGCAACAGGAAGGCGCCATTACCGCCGATGGAAAGAATTACCGGTTTCAAAAGCATCCCCTCACTAGTACTTCCCCAAGCAGATGAACTTGATCTCAGATGGAACAACGGACAACGCCACTGTTAGTATGTTCTGTAACAACTGCTGTATATTCATAAAAAGTTAAGTTTTGCCCCAAATCCACTCACTTAAGTATGTTCATTACCAATCGCCTGCTTAAAGAGATATACCTCAAGTAACAACTGCCTTCTCCACCTCGGGGATACATTCAACGCCGGCAGACCACTACATGCCCAGCAGTCACGTCCACGGCAGTAGGCTGTGATAAGACAAACTAATCCAGTTATTATTGCAGCAACAGAAGACATCAGGGTCATTTAAAAGGAATATTTTAGTTACTTACCTGTCTGGATAAGCAGGTAAAGTTATTTAAGTTTCTTGGGATGCGATAGGAGTCCTGGGCCCCTTTTTGGTACTTTGAACAACCAACTTCTCCATACGAATGGAAACTTTTAATAAACTTTTAAAGGACTGAAGGAAAGAGCTGGACGGGGAAAGCAGAGTGGTGAAAACAAAACAGTTGGCACGCAAGCTGCCAGCAATTTCAACTTGATAGTCAATGCATCAAAATATTAGTAGCAACACCTCAATCATCTAAGTTCTGGTGCTACTTCTGCTTACAACGTATTTAGATTCAAATAGAAGTCAAGACGTTACTAGATATTAAGCAAGTTTTAAAAAGGAAACACTTTTGCCATGGTCAAAAGAACACCTCTATAACCACGGGTTAGAAACTGCTAGAGGTGAGATTCCAAGGACCACACCAGCAACTTTCCCACTGGACGGGACACCCTGGCAGCCTCTTACTTGGTGAGGACATGGGAAGACTCTGCAGCAAGAACGAATGGGCTTTCCACAACTTTCGCTCTGTATTCCCCTCTGCCAGGTCCCAAATATCAGGATCCAAATCTCAGAATGGAGCCCACAACAAAAACGCATGAGCGTCCCCGCTGAAATAACTGGAAGGGGCGCAGCACAAAACCTCCAGGGAGGGGCTTGATGCAGACTAGAAGAATCTCTGTTTTGTGAGAAACATTTAATTCAACACAATGAATTACAAGAGGACAGATTTACAGAATAATAACCGTAACAGACTGTTCAAAAAGGAAAATAATTTTCACTGGTTGCAGTACCAGGTAAGGTTCCCCAAAGCAATACCTGGTAGAGCAGCAGCAAACTACAATTCAGTCTTCTTGCAGTACTCCAAATGAGCAATATCAAAGATTTTTGTATTTTCAAATCTTTAAGAAAAGAGTTAATACAGTATCAATCACTTTGGCATGGGATATTTTTCAAGGAGCTTAAACCTACTCAGATCACTAAGCTGAACTACTCCCAAAGGCTATTTACTTTCCAGGCAATTCCCCTGGTCCCTGGCTGTCACTGCTAACCATTCTTACATGATAAAGGCTCTGGGAGCTACTTTCTTCCCCAAGTTTTGGGATACCAACAACTTGTACAATTGGTCAGTGGCACAATATTTAATCCACCACTTTATACTGTACTCTCAGCTGAGACATCCACGCGTGAATTACGCAATGGATACCCTAAGACTAAAATAACTTTTGCAACCCATTCAACACATTCTCCAAGCTATAAATTCTCATCTTCCGCCCCTCTCACTATCCTCCCTCCCCAGGTAAATCCATTTTTAGCCACAAGTTACCCCAATATGCTCACAGATGTACTAGAAGAGACTGAGGAATCAATCAAGGTACCCATGGTGAAGCCAAATACTTATAAACACATTAAGGCAGGTTTCACATCATTTCATTTTTGGACACAAAATGCTGGTCACTTCACTGCACATGCAAATAAGAAAGATTTCATACTTAATAAAAAGCTTTAAATTCATTTTTAGATATCAATTATAGAAAAATCAACCTTTTTCCTTTCTTGTTTTAAAAGAGGTCAGAACATTACTGCACACGAAAGCAGATGTGTAGACACACCTATTGGAATGGATCCCCTTCCCTCCACACACAGAGAAAGAGAGGTCAGGGTTCTTGGCACCAGGAGGAGGAAGTTTTCCTCATTGTCAGTCAGAAAGGAGTCGTCCCTCCATTCCGAGTTGAGAAGGTCCTTCTGACCAGACTTAAACCAAAGCAGAATATACCACTGAGTGGGTATATTTAATCGGCGAAACTCCGTTCGGCTGTGCTGGGACGTACGCACAACTCCGTATCAAAAACGTGCATGGTAGTGCATTCGGTGTGGTGCTGGAACTAACTAAAAAAAACGATTGCCATTGATGTAAGACCAATTCCTCGGGTGTAACTTCCCCTACTAATCAAAACATCAGGTGGAAGAGGCACTGGCCGTTCAGCTCTGAGACTACACTTCCAAGACCAATGTGGTCTTGCGAGGAAAAGGAAATTCAGTGACCCAAACTGACACATGGAATGACAATCCACAACATAAAATGACCTCCCTACAGTCTGGTACAAACAGGTAGCCTACAGCAGAGTAGCCAAGGAGTGAAACAGCATCTCTCGCACTTGTGTTGGAGAGAAAATTGTTTCTATGGGTCACTGTTAAAGGTACTTTGATAGAAAAGCTTAAAAATGTATCACCTATCACTGACCCACAACAAAAAAAAAAAAAAGGACAGGAAATTTGGTTCCTAGTATTTTCCCCTCCCACCATTTTATATTCCTTTATTCCCTCCCACTTTTGCATTCCCAATTACCCTACCCCTTTAGAAAAAGGAGGGGGAGTAGAGTTTAGTCAAGTTCCATCTTCAAAACTACCCAGCAATTAATGAACCATCAGCTTCTCAACGTTTCCTGAAGCGTACATCGAAATGCTCATAGGTACAGTTGGATTGTTGGTGCAATTTACTTGGCAGACACTCTTGGCTTTGTTGTGCTGACCCTGCTGATAGGGTTTATACTGGGAATTCTTAGATGGAACTCCCTAGAAGAAAGAGGAAAAAAAAAGCCACCTTGTAAGTCAGTTTGAACTTTTTGTATCTTTATAGCAAGTGAGCCCTTAAAAGAGTAAAGCATCATTGCCATAACAGATCTATTTCTTTATCCCATTTCTCACCTTCAACAGACAGTTTGTTCTGGCTCTTTGCTCTTGCCAGACCTTTGCAGAAGAAAGGAATGCAAGATATTCACTGTCCAAATAAAGCTACTGTTAGTGATGTGGCAAACCAGGAAAATATAGAGAGCCCAGATTTAAGATGGTAACTCCCAAAGGCCAAACAGTTAGAATCACAGAACTGTTGAGGTTGGAAAAGCCCTTTCAGCTCCCCCAGCCCAACCGTTCCCCTACCCCTGCCATCCCACCACTAAACCCTGGCCCTAAGCACCTCATCTGCCTGGCTTTTAAATCCCCCCAGGGGTGGGGACTCGACCCCTTCCCTGGGCAGCCCCTTCCAGTGCTCAATCAACCTTCCCCAGCTTGAAGAATTGCTTAACATAAACCACTCTTCGTTCTACCTGAAATACAGCTGCCACTCCCTCCAAGGGGGCTTTTCTTCTGCTACTTATCCCAGAAATTCTTTTTTTTCCCCCTCTGCATTCTCGATTCTCAGCTCACAGGCTCTAGGGTCCTCATAATGAAGCACCCAGGGTATTGCCTACCCTCTTTCAGTGACAGAACATTAATTGCTTTTCTTAGGCTAAAAACCTTAAAATGATCAAAAATTAAAATCAGGGAGTTCCGTTTTCATCTCACGGCAGGAGCTCCGCTGATGATACATAGAGTGCTTCTGGCTAGGGTGACATCAAAGGAACACAGCGAGGAAAAACTCCACTTCATAGCATGGTGCACTGTCCTTGTCTAGCGCAACATCAAACATTTAAGGGAACTCCCGTTGGTGCATCTTGACTTGGCCTCATCTATCTGCGTTTTTTCTGCATTGCTACGCAGTAGCGATTCATTATTCGGAGCTATTTTGGTTTACAAGACAATAAAAAAAAAATTCTAGTTGCACCTTTAAGAAAGAAAGTTCCACTGGACAAGTGAAAGACTTGAGAACAAGAAGCAAGCCCTTTGAAAGGGCTTAATCCCTTGATTAAGGGATGCACAATGTAAAGGCACATTCCTGTGAATCCTGTAATTACTACTGCTAGACTATCTTAAACCTTTCAGATGTTTCCAGGTTATGAATATATACGTTCTTCTGTTACGTTCGGTTCATAAGTGCCCACCACATATAAAGGTTTTTAGCAGCTTCCCTCTTTTGAGGGTCAGGTTGCCTTTTTCTAACTTTCTACAAATCTTATTTTAAAATATTTCCACAAATGTGCCCTCTAATATGCCCTGCAAGAAAATGCGTACCAAAATTGCAGAAGTGAGAGAAAAAGGCATGCAGGGGGAGAAGCCGAGCCCATAAGCTGTCCTTTCTGCCCACAGTGCCCTCTTGCCTACCATAGAAAGTAACGTTTAGCCCACCCGACACAGACACAAGCACCCACTGGGCATCACACACATCAAGATATTTGATTTTATTCCCTGAAGGCATGGCTGCTACACCTTTAAAAGCACAAGCTAAAAAGCAAAGATTGGTCCGTATGTACTAATATTCCTTCTGAAAACATTTCTGCCTCCGGGTGAAGCACAGCTTAAGGTGAGAAGGGATGCTGTCACGTTACCTGGACTATACGTTCTCCATCTCCTGGTCATGGTCCTGCTCCTCCTCCTCCTCTTCCTCTTCTCCTTCTTCCTCGCCTCCTTCTTTCTCCAAAGGGGCTTCCCCATCTCTCGCTATTTCCTCTACATGGGCAAGCATGTCAGCCATCAGGGCTTCCTCCAGCCTCTTCCGCACCTGCTGCACCAGTTCCTCTTGCTTCCTGCCCCAAATCAATGAACAACAACATCAATCCTCAACGCTGCCTCTTGCAGGGAAAGGAATCTTAAATCCCTCTTACAGGAGGCTGGGCAGACAAGCACGGCTTTGAAAGAGCCCTCTGCATTGTAAATGAAATTCCCTGGCGTTACACTGTAAGTGAGGCTGAAAGAAACACTTTAAAGGGCTGGCCAATATTTTCTGCTACAAATCCTTAGCATTGATTGTACCATTTTTAATTCCAGCTGAAATTTTCCTAATCTAGCAGCTGACTCAAGACTTTTTTTTTGTTTGTTTGTTTAATTCCTTGTGCTAGTATTAATTTAAACAAGAAAGTCAGCCCACCCTGCTCAGATTTCCAAAAATGAGACTGGAGAAAATTAATTTTCTGAGCATTTCAATGTTTTTGCACGTTCTCCTTTTGAGTCACAACCTCCAGTTTTACATCTCCTTTTCTGTCAAAGTCATAGGGAAGTAAAGAAGTGATCAACCACCAGTGTGGCTCACAGGACTCCTATTTCATCTCAGCCATAGGAAATCATAAAGTTATAAACAGACCATTTTTCCTGGTCATTCAGGTATAAATCAAGCACGAAAAAAAGTCATCCTGTAATTCAGCTTTATCAATTGCTATCGGTGAAGGCTGTTAACACAAAGCAGCGTGCTTTCAGGTTCATTTCTTTGGTATATTCAGTTCTCTATCAAGTGCTTAAAGCTGAATTTGACCAGTCTTGATTTGGCAATGTAATTCACTACTGAAAGCAAGCTATACCTAAACAAAATGCATCCTTGTTTGCTGCCACCCCAGCAGTTAGGTCTTTTATTTGGTCCTGTGCTGACAGAGAGTCAGGTGAAGAGAATCAAATCACCCTGTTCAGGATTCCTGCAATCCCTTCTTTGCTTAGAGGTGCCTTAATCAAGGCTACTCAAATCCAGGCACCTTTTTCAGTAAGAGTAGACATACTCTGACATGAAAAACCCAAAACCTCAGTGTAACTGAGCATGGGCAAAATAAAAAATAATGTTTTTTAAGTACATGCCTCCATGAGAGAAGCTTTATGTCAATGAGTTTTTTTCTACTCTACTGATACAGAAGCATTCACATTAATTCAGCAAGCCATGGTGCTCCATCAGACCTTCAAACTTCCCATTGGCAAAAAAAATTAAATAAAAGAAGGGGGTTCTGTTTTGCCACAAGAAACCTGGTTCCAAGACAGAAACTTCTATTTCTAGTTTTAATACCTAATATCTTCATCTGTCACCATAAATGCTTTGCAAAGCGGCTGTGAGGTGTTTAGCCAAACTCCAGGATTCTTCTCCACGGCCGCAGAGAGCTGTCCAGTGATAGGCATCGTGCTGGTGTGGAGAGCGCTAGCGATAGCGGAGAGAAGGGTTTCATCAGTGCAACCAGGTCCAACCCCTGCAAGTGGGAGGAAAAGCAATAATCAGCATTGTGCAAGACAAAGAACAGCAAATTAGGACAACAGGCATTATTTAAATTCTAACGGCAAAGCTCCTACTGTCATTTAGAAAGCGAACACAACATAAAGCTCAGTTTTAAGCACTTCTAACAGCACCTGTACAACTTTCTCCAGGGTTATTTGGATTATGCGGGGGTTGGACTAGATGCCCCTTCCAACCCAAAACATTCTATGGTTCTATTTATACCTCATTCTGTTACACAAAAAAAAAATCCCCACCCAACTGGGAATGGAAGCTGTTTCCATTCTGCTTCTGGAAAACAACAAAAACCAAAGTCAAGAAGCTTTGCTTCGGTATCCCCTCAGGACAAAGGGCACCAAGCCTCCCAGCTGGAGCACTAACAGTTCCTGCTGGAGCAGGAACGGCCCACAGCACTGGAGAACAAGGAGATCAAATACAATACCTTCAGATCACCACTGATTGGTATCAAAATGCCACCCCTGGAGTTAAGGGCAGACTCTGATTACCTTGTAAACCTTTTGGAAGGTCCATTGTTTTCACCAGCTCCTCTGCAATGTCAAAAGCATTCAGTCCACTTAATTTCTTCTCCCAGAAGAGCTGACATCAAAGAAAGCGTTTATTGGCACAAAACAGAAATGGAATTGACAACTACACAAAGCACCTGCTTACTATCAGGAGAGGGAAGAACACTGCCGCGGACAATTTTATATTGGATTTACTAGAGAAGGGGTCTGCCGTGCCTGACGGCAGGGAACAGTCCTCGTCGCCAATCAGTCCCACAGCTCTGCCCTGATTTACTGCCTTGAAAAAGATTTTATTTTCTTCCAGGGACTGGTACTTTCACTGCTTCTGAACTGCAACAGCAAGGCAAGGCTTGCTGGCTTTCATCTGAGAGCACTCAGCGTGGGACAGCCTTTGTACACTCCCATTCCTCTCTTGCTGTCTCACATACGCCACAGAAGTTAAGGAACGCAAGAATTGCATCCAAGCTCTTCCCAAGGTAGGGAAGATTCTATTTTATTCCTCTCTGGCAGTTCCTCATGAGAACAACCGCGTTCAGCCTTTTGCTGTATTTTGCATCACAGGTTCTCCTCAAGCACGTGAATCCATGGTTTGGTTGGAAGTCAGGTACCATACCCAGATTCACCTTCAACTCTCAATCTGTATGAATAAGGACGATCACTGAACAGCTGGCGTACGATTTGTCTTGCAAGAAAGCAATTTTGTCTAAATTCTGAGAAACTAAAAACTTACCCCAACCAGTCCAAACGCGTCCCCTTTCCATACCCGTAAGAGTCCGAGTGCAACTGAACTCACATCACTTTTCCAATTACCAGCTCCCAACAAGGGGAATAAGGACAGTCACGGCCAAACCACATCGGCTGGATATTCTCTAGCCTATGACTTCCAAACGGGCGCACGTCAAACCAGTGCATGATGGGACTTAGCACTGCCTTCAAATTTGGAAGAAACATCTGGAGTCTGCTGACCAGAGGTTAAAACACACTACAGTCCGGTAAAGTATTTTAAAGTGTAATTTAACAGACTTTTGGATGTATAATGCAGAGGAAGACACAAGAAAGGGCAAGTTTGCCCTGTTCTATGCTATATAATAGAAAATTAAATATATAAATCAATATATATATATATGTACTATACATACAGTATATACGTATTTTTTGTATACATACATATATACCTAAAAACCTCTAAAGGACCTTCTTGGAAAACAGACTCCAACGCTGTCATAAAAAGAAAACCACAGGATTATGGAAGGAAAGCACAAGCAGAGCTTGGGAAGCTGCGTTACAAGTGGTAATGTGGGCAGCGGAACCACACAGGTCACCTTCGTGGGCTGGGGCTGATCTCTGCCGTCTCACAGGCCGCACTCGCAGATCAATCTCTTCCACAACAGGGACACAAATCTCTACGCAGCTCAGTGTTTTGCATATCAGCGTCATATATTTTAGTGTCCCTCTTTATTGTCTTAACTAGGCCAAGGGGTTTATAGGAATAGGAACAACACTGTAAACACACATGCTCCACTTCCTTAGGAAACGATGCTAAAACCCCACCAACCTGTCTAAAAAAACCCCAAAAAACCCACGCACACACAAACAGAACACAAAACCCAAACACAACCAATGCACACCACCCAGCTCCATTTCAAACAGGTAGTTTTTAAGTTTGCAGAAAAGGTTTGCGGTGTGAGAGGTGGGTGTTTCATAGGGTATTTTTAAATTTTAATGAAATCCCTTTCCCTCTTGGAATGATATATTTTAATTCCACCAGACCTATAAAAGTTTAAGCTGTACTGAAAATTGATACCGATGACAGCATCCAAACAGACTAACGAAGCTGAACATCCAGTTTCCAAAAGGTATAAAGATGGACTCGCTGCAGGAAAGGATTCACAGAATCCCTGGTGTGAGCTCTGTGGAGGCAACAGGCTGTCAGCTCCAGGTAATGTTAATGAAATGAGAATGCCTTCCAAAGCCTGCTTTGAACAGGTACATTTTATTTTACCAGCGCCCAGCTTCAAAGACACACTTGTCCCAAGCACACTTTTTGCACCCTTTCGCTAGATGAAATTCAGCTGAAACATCTCCTTTAATTTTGGTGTATTCTCTTGTTTGCAAATACAGGGTACGATAAGAAAAACATTTTGATTTTGTCTTAATAATGACATTCCAAGTGAATTTACGACCTTATGAATAAGGTAGAGTTAGCTACTAATGATACACGCATCTGAAAAAAAAGGCCCAGGCAGGGGATATGGTCCCTCGCACTACATCACACACACCACACTGTACGCGATCTCTGCAGGAACGGGGATTTCTTGAAACAGAGAATCCTGATACAACTGGAACATTTGATGGTGATCCTAATTACAATGCAAACGTCCCCTGAAGTGGTTACAACATCTGACTAAATTTGTGGATAATACTTAATTTCAGCATTAAGGAAATGATGGCTTTACTACAAGGTAATTGTAATCTAAACAAAGATTGGAGTCTATAAAACACGGTGCAGACAGCACATTAACTATGAACTGGAAATGGGTTTTGTTCTGATTTAAAAAGCTGGGAGCACTGTAAATTATTGTTTCTGAAATATTAAGAGACTTCAAGCTGCCAGGGACTATGTGTTCAGCATCACAAAATTAAAGTGCCTTATCCTGGGACCCTCCCAGCAGCAAACCCAGGAGTTTCTTAGTTCTGAAGAAGCACTTGCTAAGCTGCGAGCCTTACCTGCCGGGGCTGGTCCACAGCTTTCTGAGGATCGCTCTTCACCTTATTGCTGGGATGGTTTGTGATCTTTGTGACAGGTTGTTTGAATATGGAGGCTGTCTGTCTGACAGGCAGGGCGGTGTTCAAATCAGGCTTGCCCTAAAAATTCCAAAGAAAAGGAGGGGAAGCGTCCAAAAAAGTATTTTCAATTTGCTGAAGTGCTACTGTATTTTCAATTTGCTAAAGTGCTACTGTGGCCATAAAGACGTACAGCAGGGAAAAGAAGAGTTCCGGGACTTGAAAACTTGTCTGATCTCAAGCTATATGAGTTAAGACTGCTAAAAATGTATAACTATGTCCAAATCTTGCCTTAGACCTATCAAAATTAAACTAAGTTTTCTACTCTTTCACGTTCTACTTAACACACTAGCCTCCTATCACTCTAGTTTATATACTTTGGGTTTATCCCAATTTTGACAGAATTTAGGAGTCAGAACACTGTGACAAGCCACCTGTAGGTCACTAACACAGAAGATGTCAACACAACATTTGTAATAATTAGAAAAATTATGAAGTGGGATTTAAAGACCTTTTTTGAATCTGGAAACCGTTGCAAATCATTCTATTTAAATCCAGTTGTGGACGCCACTAAACAAACCAATACAGCAGGAACCTCAGTCACTTTTTTTTTTTACCTTTAGTTCTTAATAAAAGTCAGTTTTAAAATGCAGCTCACTACAAACAGGTTTTCACTACACGACTGCGTTTTATGTTAGTGGAAACACAGGCAGACCGTTCCTCACTCCCGAGATCCAACACGCCAGTCGCAAAATGGCTGTAGGACATACTTTGTTCTTGAGGATGCAGACACCGCGTCTGCTTAACATATTTATTCATAAGATGCGGAAAAGCTGTATTCAGGACAAATATCACTCAATCATCTGTGTGCCAATGCATTTATAAGCCAGTGATAACTATTTGTGTATGTATTGAAAGGTTTGGGCAGAATTTTTAGCCTGAGATGCGTGTTAGCTGCTGGTCTCTGGAGCAAGGCATGTCTCTTAAAACATCACTACAGCACTTAGGCTGTAAGTAAATGTTCCAATCTGATGATGATGATGATGATTCTTGACTGGTTGACATATTTAGAAAACAAGCAGTCCACTATTTTCCATGTTTAATGTTTAGGTGCACAGATATAAGCTTTTGGGTTCTGAGCGTCCAGCTCTGGAGCCCTCAGCACAAGAAGGACATGGATCAGAGGCGGGCTACTAAAATGCTCCGAGGGCTGGAGCCCCTCTGCTCTGAGGCCAGGCTGGGAGAGTTGGGGGTGTTCAGCCTGGAGAAGAGAAGGCTGCGGGCAGAGCTGAGTGCGGCCGGTCAGGGCTTAAAGGGGGCCCAGAGGAAAGGGGGGGACAAGCTTTTTAGTAGGGCCAGCTGGGACAGGACCAGGAGGGATGGCTTTAAACTAAACCAGGATAAGTTTAGACTGGACCTAAGGAAGAAATTCTTTCCAGTGAGGGTGGTGAAACCCTGGCAGGGGTTGCCCAGAGAGGGGGTGGAGGCCCCATCCCTGGGACCATTCCAGGCCAGGTTGGCCGGGGCTGTGAGCAACCTGATGTGGTTCAAGGTGTCCCTGCTCCTGCAGGGGGGTTGGGCTGGGTGGGCTCTGGGGGTCCCTTCCCACCCAAAACATTCTGTGATTCTATGAAAAAGGTTTTAGCATCCAATGAAGGTACTAAGAATGACTTGAGCCAATTGATCTGGACAGGCAGTAACCAGCGTCACTGTAATCCTGACTAAACCTTAACAATCAAAATTACCAGGTGCCAAACACAGATTCTTTTATTTTGTTCTACAAATAGGCCTTGCCACCCTCTCATCTCTTCAGCTTTTTGCCCAAAATGCATCCCCTCCTTCGATCAATCCCAAAGCTGAGATACCAGCATGGTCTATGGACAACTCCAGGGCATCGCTGGTGGAGGCTGCGTTACCTCCTCATCTCTGCTGCCCCACGCCACTCTTCCCTCCTCCCCCAAACCAAATACCAGAGCAGAGCAGAGCAGAGCTGCTGCACAGCCACAACAGTCAGCTGGAAACCTGGGGCTCTGGAGGAGATCATGCTGGAGAAGGCGATCTCGTACTCCAGGCAGGAGAGGAGAGGAAGATGCCACCTCTCTCTCCAGCCCTTCTGTACAGAAGATTTAGCAGTACGGCAATATTCTCCCATGGTATCAGTACCCTGGAAGAACCAGTGAATTGCGGTATTTGTCCAACACTCCATAACAGCGATGATGTTACCTCGTACAATTGCAGTTTCACACGTTCATTACAAAATGCTTAATTTTCACGCTATCACAGATATTTGTCTGAGAGGCAGTCTGGCCGCTGCAATAGCAGACGGAAAGGGGAAAGCTGCCACATCTTTGTCTTACTTTGGCTTGGTTGGAACAGTCATAGCGCATCCTCTGTCTGTTCTTGTTCATTTTATTCATCAACATTTTTCCTGTGCGGAAGTCAAAAGTGCTCAGGTCCATTGAGCTTCCCAGGTAGCGTGCCAGCTGGGGCTTGCTTCGGAACTTTTTACCACTTGGGCTGAAAAAAAAAAAACCAGAGACAAGGAACAAGGAGGGAAATTAAAACACTCTGGACTTCAATACCAGCGCTCGCTGCAGCTCAGGAAAGGCAATTTTTATGTCCTTCGTGAAAAACGTGTGCTGAACTTCCAAGAATGAAGCTCACATTAAACTCTAAATGGATATTATTGTTTTCATATCAACTCCTTCTCATGATTACAATGGAAGAGACAAATTTAGTACAGACCACGTTAAAATGTTTTTATACATAAAGAGGGAGATTCAGACCAGGTATGAATGAACATACCATAGTTCACACGATAACTGACATGGGAGACAGCAGCACAGATGTACCTATCACTCGGTTGTCTCAAATAATAAATGCCCATTTTCAAGCATAATTTCTTCTCCCAGGAGCATTAGGTTTGACTAGCACCACCTCCGGCTCCTTTCCCCCCCCACCTTGAATAGCACATTCAGGTTTGATTACACATCTTCGGTAGTGTTCTGAACCCTTCAGGATTACACAGGAGCAAGGAGAATAAACAGAAGTTAGCTGCTGGCAAGCTGCAAAGCAAAGAATTAAAAAGCAAAGAATTACAAAGCTTAAGCGATGCAAAGATAAAGGTCAAAACCTTAGAAAACTTTCCATTAGTGGCAAAAGGGAGGAGATTCTTTTTAAACACCTGGTTTCACATGAAAGACCACAACCTGGCAAGCAGGCACAAATTACTCCAACTCCTCGTTGTTCTTGGGTTGGTTTTTTTAATAATATAACATTACCTTTTGCACTAAGGTAAGTTATTTTCTTTTTTTATGCATAAAGCAAAAATCAGTCAATGTGTTATGACCACATAACTATACAGGCAATAAGCATGAAATATTCTTCATGTTCTCATTTAGCATCGTAATGATGCCTCTTTATTCCCTTAGTTTTTCTCATTTCTGGTTTTCCACATCTTGCAACTTTTATATTCAATCTTAGTACCCATCTGGTAGCAGCTCACTCCACATACATCTATCATACTAAACACAGGCTAGTTGGGTAAAAGGCATTTAAGACTGAAAATGCCAGTTACCACTCCACCCCTACTCATCCATTTTCTTCTTTAAAGAGCCATTAATGGTGTTAGAACTTGTTTTTTCAGCCACCTTGCATGGAAGCAGGGTGATCTCCTCCCTGGCCTACAAATACCCTCAGCTCCAGATGCACCAAGGATCTCATTTAGAAGACGCGAGGTCACGTCCCAGTGAGACCTCACTAACAGGCTGCCCATCGTATGCAGCGGTGGCACCCATGAGCTCCACAACTCAATTCAAAGCAACTCCCCCGTATCTGGGTGTTGAACTTGAGATGCCCAGCAGCAGTACCTACATATTAGCGTCCCTCTTTTTCCTACTGAGAAGTGGTATCAATACAACTTGTACCTGCCAGAGATAAATCAACACCAACGAGGTTCAAACGCCTTCTGAGGACAGTTGGAGCTCTGCGGTTAAGGTTACCTTCTGTTATTCCTGAAGCCAGAAACGCAAGCTACTTGTTGCAAGGTTTTTACTTGAAGGCCAAGAATAACTTGAAATTATAAAGTCAGGGGATGAGAGGAAAGAATTATTACTCATTATTTCAGCAGCACAGAGCCTGCTCTACCGCAGCGGTGCTGCTCACGCTGGTATGATGCTAAGAGGCTCTCTAGGGTCTTCTCAAAGGAAAAAAAAGCTCCAAGGAAAAAGCCTCTTTTGAACACAATATCTGCGTCCTTGAAGCCTTTATTAGGGGAAAGGTCTGAGGAAAACCAGCATAAGCATAGACTTTCTAGTATGGGACAGCGGCAAACCAATTAGTTCAAGTCAGACTGTGTATGCAAAAAAAATAGATTAAAAAAAACAACCAGAAAGAACCAAACTATTAAAACCTCTCCAAAAACTGAGAGACAAAGTTAATATGAATTACACTAAAACTGAAATCCGAAAACGTCTCTCAAAGGTCTGTGAACTGAAAGGTTGTGGTCATCCCCTACACAGCATCTGCTTAGGAAGCTCCTGGCCCCGACTGCTCGCAAGGTGCTCCCCCTGCCCCGTATCTACTCCCCACCACCACCACTGCTCAAACATAAAAGCATTCGTGCAAACGCAGAGTTAACCAGATGGGGAAAATGATCCATCTTTAGCGGGTAGGGAGAAGAGGAGGGAACACTTTATCACTGGTTATTCCTCAGCTGGACCAGTTCACAACGGAGCTGCTCAACCACTCAGGCCAGAAGATGGCACAGAGAGTAGGAATACACAGACAGGAACAGAGACTTGGTGCAGACTCAAATTTGAAACCACTTTTAAAAATACAACGGGAGTTATATGCCTCAATCCAGGAAGAGGAATAACCAACTCCAGCAGCTTTTCGGCCAGAGCCATCGCTGCCGTCAGTGAAGCCAAGAAGAGAAACTCCTTACTACATGAAGAACATGACATGGCTTACTCTTCCAAGATCTGCAGCTCCAACTTACAGTTTAGAGTCTTAGTAATTTTAAAAATAATACATTACAGTGAATTGTGCGCTTAGATCACGGTGTAACTTCCAGAACAACAGAGCCAGACACACTCAGAGACAGAGTTTTAAATGAACATAGCCCTTCAGCTTTTTTGTTTCATGTACGTTCTCTTAAGTTTGCAATGGATCTGAAAAGCTGCTCAAAGTCCACATACATCTAAAAAAACCCACCTGAAATGACTCAGGGTCCTGTCTCTTCCTGGGGAAGCTTGGCCCAAAGGAAAAGCACTGAAATGTTTAGAAGAAAAACTTTTATTCTGATTATGTCTGGAAAAAGGCAACACTGTACCCAACTTTCTCTGGAACAATGGCAGACCGGGGAACGAAGCTACAACTCAAAGCCGACGGTAAGCTTGCTCGGTAAACACAAACCGAAAGGAAGTGGCTGGCGTGCTCTGGAGCCCCTGGGGTCCCTCTGGCAGGAGCGTGCTTGATAGGACACAGCCCCTGAGGGCACCTCCAGACCCCCGAGAGGCTCAAAGGGTGGGGGGGAAGGAAAGGCAGCCAAAACCCCACAAAACCTGAGCAGCGGGATTGCTTGCTGCATGTCACAAGGCACAGAAACAGCAAACCAGCATTTAACGACGCTCAGAATTCATAAAACGCTTGTGCGCCCTTTAAATGTCACAAAATACGAAATTTCTCTCCTTCCACTCCAGAGCAAAAGCTTTGCTCTGCACTCCTGTTTTTCATATACAAAGCCTTTGAAGAGACCCAGAAGAGAGACATCTTGGTACAAAGCTGCAAAACCCAACCTCTTCTAAATAATCCTGCAGGCACTGATAGCGTGAGCACGCTGTACTTGGCTCCAGAATTAAAGGTTGAAATTTCACACTTCGCCGTGTTACGAAAAGCAAGGCAACTGCAAAGTTGCAAACGATTTTACATGCTCGTCCATCAAAAGCTCCAACGCATTATCCCCTTGCAGCCTGCCTCGGCCCTTACAAAACGAACCCGAAGAGGACGAAGGGGTGGTATGACCGAACCCAAGCCGCTGTCATTTATTATTCACAGACTTTTTGGGCGCGGATTAAGCTGAATGCGTGGCAGCCCATTGAAGGGCCAGGGGCTGCCAGGTGCCTGCTGCCCTCCATGTGCAGCTCACCCTTTGTTTCCTGCCTTATATTCTTTAAGGAGAGAGCGACTGCAAGCCCAGGCCCTCTCCCCTCCTCCCTCATTACCCAAGTCTCCTCCCCTCCGCTCTCCCCATTTAGCCTATGCAGAAGCTGCACAACTTGGAAAGCAAGGGACAAAAGACAAAAAAAAATAATCCCTGAACCAACCCAGGCGTCACCTGCCTTTTCAAGAAATGGAGACAGGAATAAGCTAGGTAAAAAGGATGGTCAATGGCATATGCCCAAAACCACATTTCCTCGCTGTGGGGTGACAGATATAATGCAAAATGTTTTTCCTTCTCCCTTTCCATCTTCCTCCCTCCTGCCCCCCCCAGTCACAGCCCACCCCCAGCCTCGTGGGGTGACAGATATAATGCAAAATGTTTTTCCTTCTCCTTTTCCATCGTACTCCCTCCTGCCCACCCCACTCACAGCCCACCCCCAGCCTCCCTCCACTGCACTTTTCTCCACTCCAGGGGTCCTTCGGGTGCTGTACGTCCCCCGACACCACTTCCTAGGCAGGGATGCCTACCCTGGGGCACCCCACATGCTGCTGCCATCAGCCCCCCTTTCTCGCAGCATCTTTGCATTATCCCTGGCTGCAGCATCTGCACCGAGTCCCGCCTCGGTGATCCCACACTCCAGCAACCTGGTTATCCCAGGATGGGCTAGCACAGACACTCACAGCGTTCCCCAGCGCACGTAAAAAGCACTGGTGTGAACAAGGGCAAGACCAGGCAACTCCTCCAGCCACCCCACGCCTTCACACATCCACGCAGCACCAGCTCCCCATCCCTCCGTAAACGGGCGCCCTCAGCTTTACACAGAGCAGCCTCAGGGGATCGAGCTGTCCCTTGCCACCACCACTGTCCCCAGCAATACTTACCTGTCCCCAGCAATATTTACCTGCACATGGACGCCCCGCACCACTGCCAGCAGCAGTGTGGAAGGGATGTGCTCCCTGCCCCGCAGGGCAACGGGGTTGTTTTGGTTCAGTAACTTGGGCTCTGACCACAGAAAAAACAACACCCTCCTAAAAAAAAAAAAAAAAACCAAAAAAAAACACCCACAAAAAAACCAACCCCAAACCCCAGCTTTGATCCACACAATACACACACAATCTCCCAAATTTCCAGAAGCACCCCACCCCTAACCAAGAACCCGAGCGGCTGTCCCGTAACACAGGACTGTGCCCAAACGTAACCAGCCATCTTTATAAGGCTCCTCTCGAGCATCACGAGAGCTTCCCTGGGGGAGCGGTGGGTAAAAGAGAACAACTGAGAAAGAGCAAAGTATGGTCTTGGTAAAAGCATTTCTCCTCCACAATTGCAGGGCAAAAAAAAAAAAAATATATACAGACCAAAATATACTTGGGGGGTGGATGTTAGAAATGTTTTCTTGAACTTTTTACATAGGTGCTGCACAAGTAAGAAATTCACAGCAAAATAAGCTTCACCCAAGAGATCTGCTAAGTTTTCCAGAACAACGATGTCAACAACTCCTTGAAGCAGAGACGAGCAGCGCCCCCAAACTTCTCAGACACTTGGCCACCAAACCTTCCGCAGAAAAACACTAGGAAGAAAAGTCACGCAAAGCAGAGCTAAACTCTCCTTCCCCTAGGTGGGAACACGGAGTTTGAAGAAGGCCTTTGTGGCCAAAACTCTCTCCAAGACAACCCGCCACTTTTGCGACATTCCCGATATGCTTCTCTTCCTGAAATCCTGCATCCCCACACCTTTCCTGCGCGCTCTGAATTTGGCCCGTGAGCCCCACCACATCAGCCAGACACCCTCACGGCTCTCCCAACTCTTAAGCTACAAGAGAAAGCTCAGCGGACAAGAGAATGCCCCGCAGTTTAAAAATTCCTGCACAATCAACAGTTGGTAAGCGCAGGGTTACAGGACTATTCCGAAAAAACCTGCCCAGGGATTCACTTACACCTCGAGGAGGGTTTAATTTCCAGCCAGCAACGGGCTCGTGCAAACTCACATCTCACCAGCTGAACGTACTCGGCACAACCGCGTCTTATCGCCCAAAGCAGAACACGTATTCGACAGAAACCCTCACGCAGAAAGGATGTGCTGCTGGTGCTCAGGGTTACAGAAGGAAACGTCCAAAAAGAAAGCGCCACAGCCCTAAACAACGGTTCGGAAAAGCAGTAACTGCCACCCCCTCGCCCATCGCCTGGGCTCAGCGTTAATTCTCCAGGCTGGCGACTGCAGACGAGAGCGCTCGTTTCCAAACCGTGCATGCAGTTTGCCACAAATGCTGCATCTGTGCATTCGGTGTAGCCGGACAAAAAAAAAAAAATCATCCAGGTAAACAACAGGTAGAAATAGCAGAGGTATTAACAAATTGCCACACGCGTATTTTCCGCTCTGAGGTAATGCGAAGTGCAACAGTAACCAAAAATTAGTGCAGCAGGGCCCTGTTATACCTTTGATCTCTGTCCAAACTGATACAAAGGGAAAATCCATTATAACTCGGGAATCAAAATACGCTACTTCTCGCGCCCTCTCTTTTAAGTTCAGCTCTGAGACTGCAACTGTTCTTGGAAAAACAGGGATGTTTTAAGCTTTCGGCTACACCTCCTCTCGCTGCTGTCTTTCCTTCTCCCTGCAGACTCCAGGCTGAGGCGGTGGAGCCGGCACTTCCAGCTTTCCGCTCCCCAGGACAGTATTTGCCCGTTCACTCGCCACCCAGCACAGCACGCTTCTCTCAGAACCATAATCTGATTTTAAAAAAAAATAATAAAAATGAACCCTAACGCACGCAGAAGTCGGTCGCATACATTTTACCGACTAAAAAGGCCAGATAAGGACAACCTGGAGAACTTCTGCTACGCTCTCCCAGCTCCCGACGGACCCAAGTTTCACACATCAGCTCGCGGGGGCACCGAGGCTGCCTCTTATGGGTGCAGGAAGGATCCATATGGCCCACCTACAGCCATATGAGACATACATTGATATTAATAGCGATCCTTCAGGCAGAGCAAGCAGCTCCCCAGCCATATGCTTCCCCCGACAGCAACACTCGCAGGGTAACGCAGCCCCAGCCCTGCCCGGACTCCCGGCTACAGCAACAGCCACCACCCGCAGGCGGGCAAAACGCTTCTTCCTTCGCCCTACCCCAAATTCCTTCATGTACAGAAACAGCAGCGGACAGAGCCCCAAGAAGGCGGGCGACCACCCTCGCCGATCCCCCGGCTGCTCCGCAAACGCCTTATCTATTTGACGTTAAGAAGAATTAGGTGTGTTTGCCAGGCGGCAGCCCCCGGGAGCGCCCGAGCGGGGCCCCGCGGCCCCCGTGCTCACCGCCTCCCGGCAGCGGGAGCCCCC